AATCAGACCCTTGTGGTATCCTTCCGGTCACTCCGGAAACCACTCCCAATGCACTTCAAATCCTCCCAACGCACTTAGAGAAATTCTACGACTCGGATCACTGCTGGCAGCGGAAGGTGCCAAAGGCAGAGCGGGCAAGAGACGGAAAAAGGGGTGAATCCGTTGGTTCGCCACCACGGATCGGACCAACCTAGTCTTGAAATGGCGTCGGCCCAATTACTCTTAGACGGAATGTATTCCCAATACATCCAAGTGCGCAAAGCGTACAGCATGACATGAATCAAACCACACATGCGCTCCAGATCGGGTGACTGGGATCGGCCCCGGATCAGACACATGAGGCTAGCGACGTTATCGATCAGCCAGATGCCCCGACGACCTCGAAAGGTCTGCGCCCGATATGTGAGGGCATAAATGATCATCACCATCTCCAACTGGGCTATCTGCCTGTCACCGGGCTCCCACAGCTGGTAAACTTCCGGAGAAATGTTGGCGATGAAGGCTTCCCGCACCGGTCCCACCGGATCGTGCCAGACGATTAAAAATCCTCCTGTGCCCTGCTTTGGTTCCTCCAAAGCTGCGTCAGAAGCTACAACAAACCGCAAACATTCGGACGGCCTCACAGGAAGTTCGCGACAGGGTCGATGGCGAAGGATGGAGTGAATCACATCGAAGTTGCGCTGAAGCTCTGGAGTGAGGTCGCGGTTGCGCTCTGTCTGGCGTGCTTTAATGGCTGCCAAACCTGCGCGTCCCAACCTTCCGTACATGCCCTGCTCGAGAAAATTGAGCATGCCGTAGAGCTTGGATGCCTGGCCTGAGGACAGGCTCTTGTGTGCCTGCGCATCGGTGATCATCGCAGCTGTCTTCTGAATCAATCGATCTCGGGCCCAAAACGTCACGAAGCCCCGGCTGAGGTTCGTAAAGTCGTGATCAAGGCCCAGAAAGGTACCGGTAGGCTGCATCAACTGTTTCTTCTCCTCGGCAAACGGGGTGCCTAAGAGGGAGTTCAACTGACAGAAAGCTTGTTGGCTAGAGCCGAATCCTGACTGGAGGTCCGTGATGTGGGCATCATCGAAATATAGCGACGCCAGACTGTATGTAAGCCGTCGGCCCAGGGCTTCAATGAGGCGGGAATACCGATTGAACGACGTAACCGCGAGCGGAAGGCCGAAGAGGAGGGATGAATACACCTGAAAGGCGGGTTCCCCCCGCTCGGCATGCCAGAAGCAGACGATACAGCCGCGGCTCTCTGCCTGACTGATAGGGGAATGCCGATAAGCGTTCGGCCAATCTTCCCCTCCTGACAGCCACTCGTCAGCAGTCGTAAGAGTGTGCCACTGTTTGTCTGTCAACAGTGAAGCGACCGCCCCCACATGTTGTGCTGGGCGCAGCGGCGAGCATAAAACCAACTTGTTCCAATCCGAAGACCTCTCAGACTGGCCTCCTGTATCTCCATTGTCAATGATCCGCTTTTTGCCCGAGGATTGGACAATCACACATCGGGGGATGAGGCGGAATGGTTCTCCTCGTAGTTCTCGCAGGAGCTGCGCATGGGTCAAAGGTGCAGAGCAGAAACCTTGGGCGGCATCGTTCAGCGATTGCTCCAGCAGCACGGCATCATGTCTGCCGGGCTTGAGCGAGGCGAGGGTCTTGTAATTGTGGGTTTCCCAGTCGTCGAGCACGTCCTCCATGGTGAGGATACGGCCTGGCTGCTCCGGAAAGACCCCGTAGGGTGGTGCCGTACCTACAGCTGGCAGTCCCGCTACCAAGCCGTAAGGGTACGTGATATCCGCCCAGGACGTTAGGGTCACCAAGAGGGCTGTTAGTCCGATGTCCCTGGAACGGGTGACTGCCCGAATCGCTGATGTTTGGAAAGTCCGCAGGTGCTCGCCCACGCTCCTCCATCGCTGCTTCAGCTCCTTCAAGATGCCTAGGCTCTGCTCGCGGAGTCGTGGTAGGTCCTCGGAACGTGATGCATAGAGTTCAGCCACAAACCATAGATCATCGTCCAGAAGGGGCGACTGCTCAGTCGGGAGGGGTGCCTGGCTGCGAAGGCAAGCACGCTGAAAGTGGGTGTCCGGGTCCAGCCCAAAACTCAAAAGCGGAGGTAGGGCGGCTTTATGGCTCAAAGCTCCGGCTTGCTGGCCCTCGGCATGACGTTGCCGCTGCCTCAAAGCTGCGCTAGCCAAATGTGGTCCCAGGGGGCCATCTGCCTTGAGATCGTGCTGGTCTCTCCAGCGTGGAAACTCGCAGAACGGTGCCTGATTCAGGAGGTCTTCGATCATCGGGAACTTGAAGTCTTGGAACCATGTACCTGGGAAGAGGCGGCGGAAGCACGTGACAACGCCTTCTTGGGTGAATAGGCCCACTCGTGCTGGGATGCTCGCAGCCACTCCGCGGCTGGAGATGACCCCCAACCGCAATGCTCGAGATGCTATCGAGTGATGCCTCTGGGCTTGCCCGCCTGCCGCTGCCAGGTAGCGAGGTGCTTCCGGGGCTGTGGCGTCAAAAACCAACCCTGCCAGCGCATCGGCTTCGCAAACGTCACTGTCATGTGGGCAATCACAGGCTAAGGTGCAGCCCGCCAGCTCTGGGAGTTCCGCCGCCTTGGATGACATGATGAACTCAACATAGCAAGGAAGCCATTCATCTGCGGTACAATCGTGTCCTGGGGTGTACGGAGAGCACCATTTCGACAGGGGCAGCTTGTGGCTGTGATGCCCTCGCCCTACGTAGATGCACTTGGCGGGGAGGTGGCCATCCACCAAAAGGTCAACTGCTCGGCGCACGCGAGGCACTCGTGCACGCTCGCGCGGGTCGATTGGCCGCAGGCCTAGCTGGATCGCCAAAGGAGTCATAGCCCAGCTGCGCAGAGAGCGGGGGTCATAGTGAAGCCAGTGCTCCCGGCGGCCCACAGCCTCAGTCGGCGGCATCCGAGGGACGCGCAACTTGGCTCGACCGACACGTACTGCCCACCAGCTAGTGGACACCGCAATGGCGAAGGCCAGCGGGGCTGTGTACTCAGCTTCCTCATGGCTAGGGAAGACTCGCTGCCCATCCAAGGTGTAGGGCTTCCACTCATCTGGGTCGTGCTGATGATGGCATTGGAGTGGCGGCCACTGGGAGATCTCCTGGATGTTGTGCCTGAGTCTCTGCTGTTTGCACCGCGCCCCCATGAAGCAACAGGCTGCGTAGCAGGTGTCCTGCCAATCGCCGGACGCCAACATCTGCTTCTCACGGGGCAGTTCCCAATGGAGGCTCCTCGCCGGATTCTCCCGCAGTGACACTCCACCACGATCGGCCAATTCCTGGATCTCCTGGAGGACAAAGTCACAGGCCTGGTTGTCCTTGGTCACTCGCCGAAGGTCACTCCCTCGGAGGTGTGGAAGGCCTGTGGGGTGTTCGTCTGACCGCAGGGGTTTCGGAGCGGGTCGGCCGTCCTCGAACTTCCTGGGAATCTCTCGAGCGCGGGACTTGGTGCTACAGTCCAACGCGGCACAGATGCAATCGGCTTGCTGCAACATCTCGTGAAGCTCTTGCTGAAACTCTGGGTGCGCGAGGTCATGTTGAGGGTTGATCAACCAGTCAATGGTGATGCGTCTCCAGCCGCAAAAGATGAAGGCTCTGGTAAGCGGTGCATTGGGCCCTGACATCAGGTCGGCCATCAGGGGTCCCTCCCCTGAATGCGGCGGATCCTCAACCGACCCTGAAGAGGCTGCCGCTGCCTCTTCAAGGCCCCGTCAGGCCTTCGGGGTATTGCGGCAAGCTGCTGCCCCATGGTTCGGAGCTCCACAGACCCGCTCCTTCTTGGTAACGTGGCCGCAACGATGTTGGCCGAGCTTGCACTTGCCCCCCTTACTCTTGCAAGATCCTTCCTGGAATGCCTGGCAAAGGAGCGTCCCATCACGGAGTACCCTGGCCACTTGTTTGCCTTGGATCGATTTCCCCAATGCAAACTTGGAGGCTGCCGGAGCGGCTGCTGGCGGGGCGCTCTTCCCAGGGGCGGTGGACGCTGGCTCTGCTGGTGTGGGCGGCAACCAGTGTGCATCTCGCGCTTGGTAGACTTCTTTGATAATGACGCCGAGCGACTGAGAGCTTTCCCGAAAGCGTGCTGTCCACTCTGCCCGTTCTTCGGCATCACGGGTTTGGAGCCATGCCAGCCGTTTGCCTGGAGGGAGTGCGGCAGTGGCCCGTTTCGCTCGAAAGAAATATTGCATCGCGATGTCCAGTGGCACTTGGGCGAAGCGAGTGCTGTCTGCTCCCAAAGTCAATTCTTCTTTGGGATCGAACCCTGGCCCTGGCGCAGGCAAGGGTCACACCCCTGCCATGGCGTACGCCACCATCAACGTCTGCAACTTGTCCAAATAGGCCTCGGTGTCACGGGCA